GTTGACTCCAACGTTGACTCCAACGTTGAATCCAACGTTGACTCCAACGTTGACTCCAACGTTGAATCCAACGTTGACTCCAACGTTGACTCCAACGTTGAATCCAACGTTGAATCCAACGTTGACTCCAACGTTGACTCCAACGTTGACTCCAACGTTGACTCCAACGTTGACTCCAACGTTGACTCCAACGTTACTCAAAAGAACGAGCAAAAGCCCAGAAGAACGACGAAAGAAGCTTCAGAAGAACGACGAAAGAGACTTCAGAAGAACGACGAACGACGAACGACGAAAAAAGCTCTAGAAAAACAATGACATCGAGAGGTAAACAAAATTTAACTAAATCGGCCCCCAATTCCAGATCGGAAGTGATCATCATATAAACATAGAATCTGATTGGTGCATCTACGACGATCTTTCACGGTCTTACTGGGGTAGCTCTGATTCTCATACACCACACCGGAAATCTAGAATAAATGCAAATCTGTGATTGGTTAAAAATAATTTTTAGCCAATTACGTATTGGCATTTTTTCTAGATTTCTGATTCCCAGTGTGATGTATGAAAATCAGTGGACACAGCAATTTGAAAAGCGCAATAATAAAAAGTATATGTGGACTTTAGTAGGTTTAGCAAATCTAAGAGTGCGTTCTGCAGATTCGAATCGGTCCATGCGAAACACTATAAAAGATACAAACAGTCAACCGGAAAGTTTATTCCACAACTATTTCAACAATCACTTGATTGCAAAACAAGAAGCTGGTGCATAATGCAAGACATGATCCTTATTATTTAATTTTTTTGTTAAGCGTTGGATGAGAATGATTACAAGTATTGTATAATGTATAAACTATAAACTGTTTGAGGTAAATAAATATGTATGTAGGCGATTTGTGAATTAATATGAACTGTTATACAAGAAAATGCAAATATATGACAGGCGTATTGTACACTTTATTGAATTTTTGAATCATCTAAGTCTATTTCATCTAAATCACTATTGTTTAACACAGTTGAATTGGATCCAGCGCTTGTCCCAACGATTGATATCCTAACTTCTTGAGTTTTTGTAACTGATATAAAAGAATTTAAATCTGTTTTTGCAGGGAATGAACTCGCGCCATTTAGAGGCATACCTAATTTACTGCGTATTCTAGTAATACTGGGAAATTTTGGAACAATACTTGGCACGGATTTTACTGACACAACATTACGCGTGATTCCGTAAATTATCGAGTCTGTTAAACCAGCGCATGTAAAGATGCATCCTGAGACAATTAAACTGTTAAATATATAAATGAAATATTAGCTATAATACAATAAGAATTTTATGCTTTAAATTTAAGTGAATTCTTACAATTCAAATGGAAACTCGTAATTGAAAAGGTCCATTATTCGTTCTAAAACAACAGATGGATATGTAAATAAAATGCATTAACTTTTGTGCCAAATAAGCTATTATATACTTGCCAACTGCCAATGGTGTTACAAGAATAATATAGGCCAATGGATACCAGATCAATTTCTTATTAACACTTTGTAAAATTCTCTTTGATTCTTGTGCGGACATGTTTCGTTGTCGATTATACAAGATCGCAAGCATAATTGTATATAGAATGATCAGCAGTGCTGCAATACCTAATATGATACCATAATGAAAACTAATTCTATAGCCCACATAATGTTCTGAAATCCAACACCATGATCCACCAGCAGAATCATAAAAATGATGATCTGAAGTTTGAATGACAAAACCAGCGAGAGAAATCATTAAGTTAATAGTCCATGTTATAATCATGCTCACGAAGACTATATGGGGGCACTCGTAATTGTGAATGATGAGAACATAGGTATGAATGCTGATTATAAGCGCCCAAAAACCTAATATAAATAAATTTGCATCAAAAAACTGTAGATCTTTCAATTTACGGATCATACAGATACCAAAAATTATTTAGGATATAATATCGTGTAAATTACCTGAAGATGTATCGCCCAAATTGATCAAAAATCCTTGGATATCACAAACTTTCCCCGTTTGTATCCCACCGATGCTTATCCAATAATAACTTATCATAAAGCCAATGCTTTGAAAAAAATCGGATAAAAGCAAATTCGTTACCAAGTGAGAGACAGCTGTGTTTCTTGCATGTTTTTGTGTTATTATCCATACAAGCATTATAATACATGAAATGCTACTCAGCGTGCTGAAAGAGCATACTGCTATCATTCCTTTAACATATTTTGCTTTAGTATCTAGGTCACTATTAGCAGCAATATTATTTAGAGAAGAATTCATATTGAAATACGAAATTAAGTAGAAATTTGTGAAAAAATAATTTTTTATTTTATTGTCTTTTAAATATAAAATGCATATTCTCTGTTACCATGATGATTTTTTCTTACACTCATATTATCGTATTATATATGAAATTGTTATTATAATGCATTATTTTTACTAATAATGCAATATCGGTAGCCAATGATATTCGCACAAAATTTTCGTTTTTCTTACTAGTTATGTTTGGATAGTCAACATAAGGATTACGCTTGATCTTTTTTTTTTTACATTAATTTACAATTTCACTTTTAATATATACACACGGTAGGGATGTCGATCGATTCTCACGATAAGGTTGAAATCCGCGGATTTCGTAGATGTAACCACAATTAATAAAACACCGGTGATAATATCCTTTACTGGCAAGTTCCCCGAATATTTATAGTCATCGCAATTCTTCGAATGAGTAGATTGCACCATAATACGTAAGTGTATTTCATTTAATGTTTCGAGCAAATCTAGTTTCGTATAGTTTTGTAAATTTGTACGTACATTTTCAGAAATTTCATCTACCGGAAATAAAAGAAGACCATCGATGGCCAAATTTACCACGTGCAGTTGAAACAATCAATATATCAATATGCAGGGGGTTTTCGAACACGTGATGTAGCTTTAAAAGTTTGACAGTTGGAAGAATTATTGTAAAATAATCTTGGCTAGAACATGAAAAGACTATTTTTTAAAGTGAATTCCGAGATTCAAGTGCATTTACATACATACATACGTACAGTACGTACGTACGTACGTACGTACGTTCGTACTAATTTTCACTAGTGTTATTTATTAGTGCTAAGAATATTTCCATATTGGTGTTTATAATAAGATCTAAAACCCGTTTATACTTGTTTACTATAGGTTCAACCCCTAAAGCTTATGCACTCTAAAATTTGTATTTTTCGGTGGCTTGTCTATTTTACACTATATATATTAAATTTCATTTTAATCTGCCACAATTTATTACGTATTGCCTAGATTCTTTTTTTCACGGTTACGATTAATTTTTATTTGTCGCTATTGATGACCTGAAAAAGGAAAAAAGTTGATGCCAAACTGACTTATCCAACCAAACTTAGAGGTAGGACCGTCCAAATTAGGAAATTGATTCCGGTATAGTTACACAATTTATTGAAAATCTTTTTATATGGTTTATA